TTAAAAGATGAAGAATTAACACAAAACGACACTACTCCTAATTGTGCAGATGACCCATGTCTTACTTCTATTTGTAGTAATTTCATAAATTACTTTGTTATGTATAATTGATCTGCATTGACCTTGATTTGCAGCCAAAAGATGGAAACTGCCACGGCTGCACTGCAGAAGAGCATCTAATGCTGGCATCGGATTAGCAGGGAGTTATGAAGGATTTGGTGAACCACCTGGTGATACTTCAGCTAAAGAGTGAGACATCTTTTGGATTTGCTATAATAAATGAATGATTATCTTATTCAATATATATATATATATATATATATATATATATATATATATATATATATATATATATATATATATATATATATATATATATATATAGGGTGTGATTCCGATGAGAACACTCCTTAACGTGAGAAATGAGAATGCTCCAAAACAATGCACATTTATAGTTAAAGTAATGCAAAATTCAAATGTGCACATTTACGTTTAGACTTTTGCACAGTTGAAATGCACATTTTCCAATTCTTTATATGCACATTTCTGTTTAAATGATGCACGATACCCAAATCCAACGCTTCAGAATCATTCACAATTCTCTTCTAAGATGGTATTCCCATTTCTCTCCTAAGATGGTATTCTCATATGATCCTTACTCTCTCTCTCTCTCTCTCTCTATATATATATATATATATATATATATATATATATTTGCAATGTCTTTTCATTTTGAGCTTTATGGGATGCATCTTGATTGGATTAAACTACAATATTAAGAATCTGTCCTAACTCCTAAGTTAGTTTCTGTGGATACTGTTGTTTACTTTTGTGTAGAAATAGCCAGGGGGGACTCTGAAAATAATAGCATATGAGCATATGAGTATATGACCAATCCCAGGGCTTTGATCTTGAAAAAATATCAAAATTGTGTTTCTGCTACAATTTTAACCTTCATTCAAAACAATTTCTCTTGCATGGATTTAGTGTTAACTAATTTTATAATTACTTAGCATTTTAAATTTAATGCCACCTACCCCAACTAGCTGAGCTTAAGGTGCTGCTGATGATAAATGAGTAATGTGTTCACCTAGACTAAAACATTAAGTTGTTAGTGAGGATAAACAAGTTTTATTTTGTATTATCATGAAGAGGTGCTCTTATGTGTGGAGTGGAATTGTATGCCGCAGTGCAAAACATGTGAAGATTGATGAGTAGCATACAAATTGAAACCACGGACATTATGCAAACTTTCTTCCATATTGAAAGTGCGTTCCACCTCAACCAAAAGCTTAAACCGTTTGTATGGATTATCTATTTAGTATTTTATGTTTCTTCTTCATAATCTTTTTTATAATCCTTTACAATGTCATATGCAACTCCATTAAAAATGTTCTGAATGGTACATGCTATAAACCAAAATCAAACTTGCATGATGTGTGTGTGTGATTCTGCTTGAAACTTATGTATATTGCCTTTCCTGGATGGCAGTGAAAAGCTTCCCGTCCAATTCCCTTATCCTCTGTCTATAGCACTAGTGTTATGTGGATGTGCTATAGTATTTTCACTGATTGCCTTTGTGAAAAGTGGGCCTTCGTTGACTTTAACAGCATTTTCAAAGTCAGGCTTTGCTGCCGCATTCTCACTCATATTTGTTTCTGAAATCGGAGACAAGGTACATATAATGAATCGTCTGATATTATTATTATTATTATGTTGCAATGCCAATCTTTTATTTAAAAGGACACTTCTTTAACTACTTGAATTATGTCCTATACTTTTATCTCAATATTTCATGTTTTAACACTAATTTTGCAGACATTTTTCATCGCTGCGCTGTTAGCAATGCAGTACAAGAGACTATTGGTATGACCTCATAAGATCTCACTCTTTCCTTGATTAGCAGTTTTAGTTTGTTCAAAATTTTCATTTGAGATACTTTGTCTCTCCCATATGACCATATCCCCTCCCCACACAAGTTGAAAAATATAAGATCACCTATTTGTAGTAGTAGTAACTAAACTTAAATATTTGAACACTGCATCTTAAAACTTAATGCTTTCTTAGCATGAATCGTTGAACTCAATTCAACTGAACATGCCGTTTCTTTTTACCTCATATTATTGGTTACTTAAGATTATTTATGCACAGCCTTTTGTGTACTCAGGTTGACATTATACATTGGAGAGATTACCACAAGTATAGGATCACAAACCATTGAAAACAATGAAATGATCTTATGTTGCTTAGAAGTGTTTAACTTGGTCTAAAAATACTACATTATCATGTGATAGATGTAGGAATAGTTCTTAAACATATGAAGTGTGGATCAGGTACTGGTGGGATCAATGGGAGCTCTTTCACTTATGACAGTCATATCTGTCATAATAGGAAGGATCTTTCACTCTGTACCTGCTCAGTTTCAAACAAGTAAGTTTCAGACCTTCACATCTTCTGCTCTTTATACAGCTCTATTTGCATTCTTCTTCCTTCAATCAAACTTGTGTAATCTAGTCGCCTACTTTGGTAATAGCTGTAAACGATCTCCCTTTCACTTTGCACACTTTTGAAAGGACAGTCACATATATGTATATATCCTGCAGTGACACCTTAAAAGTTCTAATTACTTTCCTTTTTCAGCATTGCCTATTGGAGAGTATGCGGCAATAGCACTTTTATTATTCTTTGGTGCCAAGTCTATCAAAGATGCATGGGAACTTCCATCTGAAGAGGTTAAAGGAGGCGATGAATATGCTGAGGCTGAAGTGCTTGTGAAAGAAAAGGTGGGTTGACTATACATGTAATCAAGCACTTAAAGTCCTATAGGGTCTGTTTGGATGGATGATTTAGGAGGGGTTTATAGTATGCTTAGTCGTATATCTTGTCATGATATATATTTGAGATCTTATAATGATGAAAAGGTTAACAAAGTATGTGATAGTATAATATTTCAGTTGCCATTTAATCATTTGTAGAAACATTCTGTGTATCAAGATTATACAGACTAAGACTTTAAGAACTCCAAAGTCTTCCCTTCCAAAACCCTTCATTCAAACAAAGCCTTACTCTGCTTCTCTTTCTGATGTTGATTTGTTCAGGCATCAAAGCGACTCTCAAGTCCACTTGAAATTCTGTGGAAGTCATTCAGCCTTGTATTTTTTGCTGTAAGAGCCTCCTACCCTTTTTAAATAAATAATTTTGCAGGAATCACAAAATCTTGAATTTGTAGGACTTAAATAGGAGTTGATTTGTGGCATACCCAATCCATATTTCATAAATTGGGTTTCTTTTTTTGCCATGCGTGTAGGAGTGGGGAGACCGCTCTATGCTGGCAACAATAGCTCTAGGCGCAGCACAGGTTTACACACTGTCTCTTGCTAGTATTTTTTTTATATTGGGTGGGGGGGGGGGGGGGGGGGGGAGTTCATTATAGAGTATAGTAATTTGTACACGTATATGCATTGAATGGAGGGCGGGATGTCTGTTGTGCAGTCTCCATGGGGAGTAGCAGGTGGGGCTATTGCTGGGCACTTGATTGCAACATCTCTTGCAATACTTGGAGGTGCATTTCTTGCCAAGTACATTTCAGAAAAGCTGGTATGCATTATATACTAGATATATGATTCCTTTTTAAAATAAAACGAAAAACATAATTTCATAGGGATTTCTAACTGTCAAAATCTGGCTGGCGCCTAGGTGGGCTACATTGGTGGAGCATTGTTTTTGGGTTTCGCTGCAGCCACGTTCCTCGGTGTCTTTTGAGGATTGATGTTTTTGCACAGCATCGTGAGAAGATGAAAAGATAGTTCATATGCAGAGTCGCGCGGAACTACTCAAGGTCTCAAGGGAAGTGAATGCCCAAGACAATATATTCTCTACTTGGACATTAGAGGAGTGCATTATAGGGCAATTGGTGTTGTATCATCATGAAATCATGCCTGGAAAAAGGGAGACCTTTGTAGGGAACTTTTGGGAACCTAACCCGGAAATGATGTAATTATTGTGTATTATATTTGTAAACATTTATCTTGTACACTTGTAAAATTCCCAGTAATATGTATTCACTTCTGTACATCATAATGCATATGAATTATGAAGTATCATTTCCCTGAAATAAGCCTAATGATCAGACCTTCACAATTGATAGATCCTTAATTCCTTATTGCCCCATTTATGATAAAATATTGAAGTAAAAAACATATACTCCGTACTCTATAGGTTATAATCAAAATTATTATAATATGTTAAGACGTTAAGTCAATATCAATATTGACAAAAGGGACAATCTCCCATTAATTTAGCAATCATTCGAATGTTGATATTAATATATTTTAAAATTTTAAAATCATGGAATATGTTGTAATGGTACTAATTATTTAGACTCAACAATTTAAACTTATTTGAGGTAAAATACATAAATATAGTTTTTTAAAAAATAGGCTAACTCCTGATCAAGAAATTATTGAAACATTTATTAATCTCTCTTCATTTTTTTAAAGCTAAAAAAATGAAGAATGGATTAATAAATGTTTGGGAGAACTATCAAATAAGTCTTCGAACTTTCATAAAAAGTGCAAATAAGCCCTTTTATACGAGGCTCTGTCCGGTCGTCTCCATTTGGGGCGGTTTCCGGTGGAATGTTTTATTGAAATTTTGTGAGCATCTTTTCCATTAAGTCTAGTTTACTCATACCAAATTTCAGCTAAACATTCAATCGGGAAGACAGTTAAATGAATTTTTGAAGATAACTGCGCAGTTAGACAACGCATTATATTTCAGAAAATCATTTGACTATCTTCTAGATTGAATTTTTAGCTAAATTTTGGTATGACTAAACTAGACTTAATGAAGAAGATGCTAAAAAAAATTCATCAAAAAAATCCACCGGAAACCGCCCCAAATGGCGACAGCCGGATAAAGTATCCTGTAAAAGGTCTTATTTGCACTGTTTATGAAAGTTCGAGGGCTTATTTGATAGTTCTCAGATTCTTCAATAATAATTTTAATAATCCGTTTCGGGTTGCATCTTGATACGGATTGTGGACTAATCTATACAGCAATATCTATATTTGAGGATTTGTGGATTTTCATTCCACTGTCCAGATTATATCTCAATTCTCTCTCGAACTCGAATCGTCTGTAGTCGTCAGTACTGCGTACTTCGTACCACCTCCATTGTTGAGGAACAGCTTAGAGCAAAGATGACGGAGGCCATGATAAGGAAGAAGCCAGGCATGGTCAGCGTGAAGGACATGCCACTTCTTCAAGATGGGCCGCCGCCTGGAGGTTTTGCTCCGGTCCGGTTCGCCCGTCGGATCCCTAACACCGGTCCCAGTGCGATGGCCATTTTCCTCACTGCTTTGGGCGCCTTCTCTTGGGGCATGTATCAGGTTGGCCAAGGAAACAAGAAGCGCAGGTAAAACGCCTCTATTTCAGTATTTCATGATCTTCTGTTTGATTTGAACTGGATCGTGTCTAAATTGCATAATGCAGTTTTTTTTATTCGTCGTATACTTTATCGGTTAGTGGGTACAGTATTCAGATTATATACACCCTTTTATTTTTATGATGGCCCAAGGTTTCACCAATTAAAGAAGAGACTGTGCTGTTGATTGTTAGCCACTTTCTTTATATACTTCGTCTGTGAATGTTCTAAAAACTAAATCAAGTGAAGATGCACTCAAAGCAAACAGTGCCTATAATGCAGAGGATATGCTTTTGGAACTCCTTGTAGGGAAGCATGTAACTTTTCTTTCATTTCATAACCTAGATTAAATTGGCTTCTAATTATTAGATAAAGAACATAGCAGAAGCTCCTCTTCATGGAGATGAAATAGCCATCATAGTTACCATCTTACTGTACTTATTAAATGCTCTTATCGGGATTTAAATGTTATTGAAGATTTAGTTGAACTATCTCCGGATGCGTGTATTGATTATTGAAAAGTCATGACTCATGAGTCTATCATGTCATTTGCTCTGTAGTATGGCATAATGATATAGGTTACATGGATTCTTACATTTCAGTAGAAAGCGGAACCGTAGAACCAAGGTTAGAAATTGCATATTGCGTAGTTGTGGCGTTTTTTTAAATATTGCATATTGCGTAAGCCTCATTGCGCAACAAGGCGTATGCCTGAGGCGTAATATATATATATATATATATATACATAATAAAAAATAAACATATTTGTCAAAAGTCGTCAAATGTTATTAAAACAAACCATAAGAGGCCATAGTCCTAGCAAAGTAATATGTTCAAACTTCAAAGTACCATAGAATACCAAAACTTTCTGAACCGTTTATAAAAAATCTAAGATATAATGATTTAAATTAATTAGATTGATCGACTGAAAAAATATTTCCATCATTTGCAATGGAGCCAAAGATTCATTATTTTTTGGCTTGAGATTATGATGGAATAAAGCAAAATGGCCCACTAATTTTATGAAGCGGCAGTCAGTCCATGCAATTTTGGACGGGATTGTCACTATGGGTCATCCGGAAACAGTCTCTCTGTGCTTAAGTACAGGGGTAAGACTGCGTACATCCGACCCCCCTTACCCCACCGTAGGTGGGAGCCTTTGTGGCACTGGGGTAAATGAAAAAAAAATCGACTGAAAAAATCTAATCAATAATAAGTGGTTTGAAATAGCGATCATAACATCAATTATAAAAATTTAAAAGTGGGTCGGGTGGGCCCAAATAATACCCTTACACCCTGACCTTCTCCTATTGCGTACGCCTCAGAGCGCCTTATTGCGTATGCAATATTGCGTACGCCTCAGTGTAATATTGTGTACGCCGCACTCTCAACGCCATATGCAATGCCTTTTACGCCATAGTCTAGGAATTAGCTAAGGCGCGCCATGAGGCGCAATTGCATTGCGCAATTACAAACAATGCGTAGAACTTGCAGCTCGTGATCAAACTGTGATTCTGTGCGCCTTTTAGAACATCTTTACGTATTATGAAATCCCCATTATCTTACAGTTATAGAAGCTATGTTGAATCTTAGAATTAGTTTTTAAAACGTGCATATCATCAACTAATAGAATTGGTAATGTGTAGGAACACTTACATTTCTTTTTGGTTTGTAGCAGGTTCTTTGTTACATGTGGTTTCCTTTAAATTTAGATAATTGATGACTAGTGTTGTTAAATGGTCGCCGTGGATAAATGGAGTTGCGGATTTTTCCCAGCCATAGGAACATTTTTAAGATTTTCCATCATTTGCAATGGAGCCAAAGATTCACTATTTTTAGGATTGGGAATATGATGGAATAAAGCAAAAAATGGCTCACTAAACTGTCTGCGCTTCTTTGTTATGAATCAACAGTTGGTCAATGCAATTTTCGACACGATTTTCATCATGAGTCATCCGGAAACAGTCTCTTTGTACTTTAGTACAGGGGTAAGGCTGTGTACATTCGACCCCTCTTACCCCACCGTAGGTGGTAGCCTTTGCAGCACTGGGGTAATGATGAGGATGATGATATGAATGTTTTTAAGAGTGGCGCTCTTAGGAGGTTCAGGAGGCCATCCACCATAGTCCATTAATAACACTGTTGATGAGATGACACTTGACGTGTTTAGACTTTAGACAGAGTGCACACTGCATAGATGATCTTAATTACTTGCTTAACTGACAAGTCACCATTTTGGGATTCAGATCAAATCTAGTGATTAGCAAAGTTGCTGATTGTAACTTTTCGAGTTGAAAGCTTTTAATAGTTAATACTTGCCAATGTCCCATTCATCTGCTGCATGTTATTCAAATTTTGGTAGTCATTACATGAATAGATGGGTGTCTTCTTTCCATTATGCTTGCTGCTTTTCCGCTTCTGATAACCATTGTATCGTGCTACTGGAACCTTGGTATATCTTCTTGATAACCAATGTCCCGAAATAATTGTCAATTGTCATTTTAAAGAATCCCTTGCATATAAGCTATTAAGCCCTATAAAAGTATACTTAAGGAAGAAAAGTACTTGTTTTATAAATTCTTGTTTAAGTCTAATTATAAATTCCTCATGTACTTGTTTAAGTCTAGTTATAAATTCCTTCTTATTCACAATACACCTACTGAAGCATTTATTTAGACTTTTAAGAATAGTAAATATGTAAATATGCATGACTTTGGTTTTTTTGGAGGATACAGAATAATACATAATTGTCTCATGAATTCCTAAAATGACAATTATTTAGTGATTTTTGTTGTTGCTAATTAAAAACTAATTTTGTAACGGAGGGAGAAGTATCATAAGTTATGTATTGCTTTGCTTAAAAATAATATATTAATGGAAATACACAGCACTAGGTAATGATTATTGGAAACTAGAAAATGCATGTAGAAGTATATCATCATCTTGTCATCGTGTAGGGTAATTAAGGAAGAAAAGTATGCTGCCAGAAGGGCTATATTGCCCATGCTACAAGCTGAAGAGGATCAAAGGTTAGGAGCAACTTTGGCTTTTCTCTGTTCTGTAATTCATTTACTTGGTCACACATATACTTTGTCACAACTTATACTGTCATTGCCCTGCCCTGTTGGGTTTCATATCTTTAGATTTGTCAAAGAGTGGAGGAAGTATGTTGAAGAAGAGGCAAGGATAATGAAGGACGTTCCTGGTTGGAAAGTGGGTGAGAGTGTGTACAACTCAGGAAGATGGATGCCCCCTTCTACAGGAGAGCTTCGTCCCGATGTCTGGTAAGGCCGCCTTTACAGTTGCAGAGACAACAGAAAATCATCTTTTTTCTGTAATTGCAGTCTACTGTGTTTGGGATGCTTGTAATAATGTAACCTCCAAGTTGAGTTCATGCTGTCCAGAATTGTTGTGTAGTTTTCTTTTTCAAAATCATTTAAATATATTCCCTGAAGAGAATTGGGAGTATTAATAGAACTCTACAAGTTTCGTGTCCTCTTACTTATTGACTTACTCATTGGGCCATTTTGTTTGATGAGAAAGACACTACTCTATGCGTTATTGTTTTTTTCCTTGTTATTGGTTAATGATGAATTCTGAAGTGAACAGACCCAGGGGGTTACCTTCCCCCCCCAACAAGAATTTTTTTAGTGTGTGTATATATATATATATATATATATATATATATATATATATATATATATATATATATATATATATATGTGAAAAATAATTTTCTCCCTCTGCAAAAATATTTTGAACCCTCCAAAAAATATTTTTCCACCCCTGGAAGTGAATCAAACCCCAGTTTTAACTTGTAACACATGGATTGCGATATATATATTGTGTATCAGATAGTACTACAGTGAATATTCGTGATATGGATTGCGACAATACACATGTAGTAATTAACTTGTAAACAGTGAATATTTGATATGCTATGATCGGAAAATTGCTGTATTCGTTTCTCAATTGCTTTAGCCCTTCAATGTCTATGTAATTCAATAGTCTTCCAATTATCTAAACATTTTTTAGTTCTGTCCCTCACACCCTAATGTTAACAACATAATTGAGAAGATGAAAGAAATAAATGATACTCCCTCCGTCCCGGTCATTTCTTCCGGTTTTGACCGGTATCGCAAATTTAGGTAGTGGGAATAAAGTGAAAATGTATGGTTGTAGTTGTGTAAGAAAAAAGTGAATGAATGTGAACCACAAAATTTTTCCAAAAGTGAAAGTTGGAAGATTTAATTGGGACGGTCCAAAAAGGAAAGTTGGAAGAAATGACCGGGACAAAGGGAGTACATATATGGATGGACTCGGGTCCGGGCCCGGGCCGAGTCCGGGTCGGGCCTAGGCCCGGGCGGGCCGGCGGGTCAGAAATGGTGGACCCGGGACCGGCCCGGGTAACCACCGGGTCCGGTCCGGGTTCGGGCCGGGCCGGGCCGGGCCCATTATATATATATATATATATATATATTTTGTTTTCCTCTTCCTAATCAACCCCCCTCCCACCCCAACCCCCCAAATGGCCCAAAACACCCAGCCCAACCCGAAAATTTAAAAAAAATTGAAAAAAAAATAGTTTTTGGCCCGAATCGGGCCTGGGCCCGGCCGGGTCGGGCCTTGTTTTGGGTGACCCGAGCCCGGACCGGAAAACCCACGGGCCGGGCCTACCCGGACCGGTCACTGACCGGGCCACCGGGTCGGGCCGAGCCGGAACAGTACCGGTCCCGGGCCGGTTCCGGGTCGGGCCACCCGGGCCGAGTCCATCCATAAGTACATATGAATCTATGAAGCTCTGGAGAAAAAAGCTAGGAAAATGAAACTACATGCTAAGAAAGATTATTTTCCCATGCTTGTATTTATCTTAAAATTCAATAAGATTTTTTGCATACTTATTAATGCTAAGTATTTTACTATCGTAAATAAATACAAATGAATGTGTTCAAACATTAAAAATAAATCTACCGAGCATGAACTAATATTTATTTTCAACTTTTATTTTAAAAAAAAAACAAGAAAAAAAGCAGGCGTGTGGAGTTTATGACTTTTCTACAGCTTTTAAAATCACCTTTATCTGTAGAGCGGTAGGCTATAGTTTCTCTACATTATAGATGACATTGCAAAAGAAGTTAAGGCCAAATTAATAAAATGAGAGATAACATTGCATAATCAGAAAATCAAGGAACCAAAATTACCAAAATAAATTCCATCAGAAAACATTCTTAGAAACGTATTCACCTTAGTTCAAACTCGTCATAATCTGGCATGGAATATTGGTCCGCCCAATCTAGCTGCAAGAACTGTGGGATAGGCGTAGGAGTGGAAAAGGGAGACCCCAAATGTACGAAAGAAACTGAAACTGATTGAGCCAAACACTTGGTGTTCCAACTCAGGGGTAGTAATCAATCAATTGCCCATATTCCATGTAGCAGTACAATTAGAGTTGGGGCTGTATTAGTTTATCACATTAATCACATTGCTACCAAATACATTAAGGTCACGTGAGCTTCTAGTTTTGTGAATAAAAGTAATGCAACTAAATGTACTTCTTACAGTGGGTCATCCATTCAAAAATCTGTTAAATAAATCGATTTCAGTGGGTCTTCCATTCAAAAATTTGTTACGTAAATCACGATTATGATTTTAAAATGTTGTTCTAGACTGCTTGCAACTCTACTATTAGTTGTCTTCTCCTCTATATCTGTTGACATATATCCTTAACCAGCCTTACCCCATTTGGTTTGTGAGAGTTCACAAATTAAAGTTTTGTTTTGTAGCATATTCTTTGGTTTTGTGTTCATGTGGGAGTAGTCCCTTTCACACATAGAATTGAAAACATTGACCAAGTGTGGAGTCCTCAAATCCTCCATCACCTCTAGCCCGGTAAGGTTATGAAAGAAAGCTTTCCTTACTTATAAACAATGTTTTAAACAACCTCAACCTTGAAAATATAGTGACATTCAACATCGAAGCTATGAAGTTTTGACTACAGTATAAAATTTATATCCGTGTATAGTAGTGACGGAGGGAATACCTTTCGCTTACAATAAATATTAAGATCATATTCCATTGGTCCTTTTATCCACTTTATATAATAAATACGGAGTACTATAATAGGTTAGAAAATTGAACAAAAAAAATAAAAAAAAATGTTAGCATGAGAGGTACATAATAAGTACTCATTTCATGTTGCAATCTATCCATGAGGTAAAATTTGAGAGAATTCTCCAAATAGGAGTAAAACATAGGCAAAATGTAAAAATAGGAGTATCATGTTTTGAATAAGAGTAACTTTAGTGTTTGGACAAGTATACCCCTAGCCAAGCCCTAAGCCTCAACAACTTTTAATTAAATATTTAATTCATAATAAATTCGAAAAAAAATCAAAAAATCGTAGAAAAATAATTAAAAATTTATAAAATATTAATAAAATAAAAAATTTAAAAAAAAAATATATTTTTAAATTTTTTAGTTTTTTAAAAAATTAATAAAAAATAGTAAAACTCCATAAAAAATTAAAAAAAATATGAATGTCTTTCCCACCGCCTGTACTACCTTCCTGCACCACCACCTCCGGGCGGTGATTTTTTTTTATTTTTTCTAAAAACTGCCATTTTTTCCTGAAAATGCCAAAAACATGGCATATTTCTCTTTGTGAATGCCAACATTTTCATTATTTTCTGCCATAAATATGGCATTCGTAATGAACTTGACATTTTTTCTCCTGGTGACGGGAGGTGGTGGTGCAGAGGCGGCAGAGGCGGCGGTGATTTTTTTTTTTTGAGTTTTTTATTTTTTTAAAAAAATATATTTTTTTATTTTTTGAAAAATAAATAATTAAATAAATAAATAAATAAATTATTATTATCGAATAAGTCATAAATTAACTAGGTTAGGATTAAATAAGTCATATTTTGGAATTAACTAGGTTAGGGATATTAAGGGTACATAATTAATGTTTACTCCTATTGAAGGAAGTTTTAAGCATACTCCTATTTATGCAATTATGTTTATGTTTACTCCTATATTGGGCAATTTCTATTAAAATTTTCAAAATAACACGTAATACGGAGTGATATTAATAAAAATAAGAAAAAAAACAAGAATGTGATTTTAGAATTTTCAGTTAAGGTGATTATTTACAAACTTTACGTAAAAATGAATCTAAAAATATATTCATATTAAGTAATAAATAGTCACAATTTTATTCCTAATTTTTATTTAGAAAAACTCAAATTTCTTTCTAGCAAGTAGCAATAAAGAAAAAAATGCACAGATTGAACTATGGAAGGACAAGGCACGACGACAGCAATATACTACGTATTAGAAGAAATTTATAAAAAAGAGAATAACGTAACCAACGGCAAAAGACAACTAAGGATAGATAGAGAGTAGGCAGGAGATCTGCTCGAAGTTTGAAAATTTTCTAAATTATAAAGAGCAGTATCAGAGAGGTCTCCGTTCTCCTGCCCGATCAGATCGGAGTCCCTTTCTATCGACACAGAATTTGCAAATTAGGGTTTTAATTGCAAATCCTATCATCGCCGTCGCGCGCTTCTCAATGCTCGCTATTTTTGAAAAAAAATCACGCTAAAACCCCGATCCGGCGACAACCGCAATAATCATTGCCTACTCTTCTCTTCTCGATGCTTATATATGTGCGCATTGGTGCTGCTACGGATTTTAATGTGTTGATTTGTGATCGGTGTCGTATGGTAGACATTGGGGTTTGAATCTAAGGGGTTAAAAAAATTCTTAAATTGCTATGAGGACCCAGAGCCATTGGACATAAAGACATATTTGGATTTCAATGGCTTCGGTTCAGGTATTGCGCAAGCAAGAGCATCTGGAAGCTGGGAAGAAGAAGGTGCGAATTTGTTCTTACTTCCGGTGTAATTGGTCTAGCCTTTTGGGAGGGTTAATTTTTTGTTTCCATTTTACAATTAAGTCCAGTTGGAACTGTGGTTGATATTAAATGATGAAATTTTTGGTACCTAACTGTATAAAGACGTGGAATTTATGAAATTTCTGCTGACCTATTGGCTTGCTAGGCAATACACAAATGGATATTATTGAATTGCCTCAAAGCTGAAGAAGGTTGTGGGCGTCTATCTTGATGGTAGTAAGCATGATTTGTCTTAAAAACATAAGTTTTCCACTTTGGGTTAAGTGAACAGGTCATGGTTCTGTTTCTGTAGTTTGCTAAATTTGGCCTTTGTGGGGTCATCTCTTTTCAAGTTGTTGAGTTCTTTTGGGGATAACGTGTATTTAATTAGCATTTGAATCTGCAAAACTGAATTCAACATATGATGTTGCTTTAAACAATACTATTTCCAAATCATGTTTAAGGTTTGCAAAATTGTGAAACTCAATTTATCCAATTTCAAACGCAAATTAAATAGACTCTAATTTAATGTGCATGTTGGTGCATAGGCTGTTTTTAATGCATATATCAAGTTTCGATATTCTGAGATTTGTAGTGTAAGCAATGTATTTAAAATTTAGCTCTTTGCTTGAGTAAGATGGGCACTTTTTTGCCTTGTGCCTAAGGTAACAGAGGACCTTTATATATGAGTGTCCCAGATACTTTGACTACCTTGGTG